CCGTTTTAAAACACATTACATACAATCCGTGATCTGGTTCCATCTGTAAAAGATGTGATTCAGGACATACAGTACCCTGGTGTCTACAAACTAAGTTGCCTCTGTGGTAGTAGTTACATTGGAGAAACCAAACGCCATGTCTCGGACCGCATTCGTGAACACAAAGCTGACCTTAAACACGGTAGGACCAACACCTCAGCCGTGGCAGATCATTGTTATAATTCAGTAGGCTCACATGACATTGACTTCTCCAAGACAGAGATTCTTTGTAAGCCATCTGGCTACCATGAGAGATTCGTTCATGAGGCTATCCACATATACAAGCACAGAGACAATTTCAACCGAGAAGATGGATTCTGGCTTAGCAATCATTGGAAAGATTTGATAAACCATTTCAGGTCTTAATTGATTGTTCACGCTAACAGTGGCTTTCAGACAGCATGCATTAATTTTTCGTCTCCCTCCTCCTCTTTTCAGAACATAGATGGAGTCGTCCTTCTAAATAAACTGCCAAATCGCTGCCCGTGGCGCTAACGGTTTTTATAAATGAATAAATACAAACACCGTTTAAAAATAAATAAATAAAACAAACTTCCACTTCTTTCAAATGTTTCTTGCCATTGGTTTTTCACACCTGATGATGACCATTTGCGTTATGGTCAAAACGTCGTGAGAATTTATTTAAATTGTTTTATATATATTTTATTATTTTATTGTTTCCCTTTAACGTGACTTTACCGAAAAAGCTAAGAATATGAATTACTGCAGTCACGAAAGCTTTAAATCAAAACGATGGTGGAGTTTGCGAAGGTCCGAATAAACGCGGCCCGCCGCCATTTCGACCGTTCCCGTCGGGGGGATGGGGGGGCCGAACCGGCGACCGCGGGATCGAGAGCCCAGCATGCCGCCAACCACTGCAACCCGCGGCAGCGTCGGGCAAAATCCACCGCAAGGTGCAATTCGGGGGCACGGTGAGGCACCAGAATCGTGGGTGAACGGCAGGGGAGGACTATGAGGCGGGGAGGGTAAAGCCGGATGTACCGGCGTTTGAGGACAGCTCGTGGTCAGGTATTTGGATGGTGATGGTTACAAATAGCCGGGTTAGCCAAGGGGCAGGGCAGGCAGGCAAGCTGTTCCGAAAGACGGCTGGGTAATTGGAAAGCCGAAAGGGTGATGATGCCCCGAGATTGCAATGTACGCACGCGCGTTGAACTTCGTTGGCGTCATACGCGGCCAACCGTGCAGATCGAGCCGCTTTGCCGTAGCAATGAGACATCCGCAGGGGCACCAATGTACCAGCCCACGAATAAACCCAAAAATACTCTCAAGTTGAGTTCTGGCCGCTGCAGACACCGCTGCTGTCTTTAGGGAACGATGCGCGTGCCCATTTCCTCCAAGTCCCCGAAAGGTGAGCCACAAACGTCACTCTATTTTTAAAAAAATTCAAAACCACAAGACAAAGATCCCCCATATAGCCTGTAATAGACTGTAGGGGCAAGTGCTGTTAGCGAGCGCCTATGAAGGCCGGCACGGCACACGAGGGGGCGGGTGGCCAACACCATGCCCGGCCGCCTTTGTCTCTGTAGTGGCGGTTTACACATCGCATCAGGTACTCATTTGAGGCTGAGTCGACCTAGGGGAGGCCCAAGACCTGTTCGGATAATCGTCACACTGGTGTGGGCCGTGAGCGGGAATTGAACCTGGGTTACCAGGTTCGTAGCGCAATGCGCTAACCGCTACATTACCACTCCCCACTCAATAATAATTATCACTCTATAAAAACACACACACACTCACATTTTTCCATCATCTTACAAAAGCAGTATCAGTACCCAAGGGTTTGATCTTCCACGAAGCTCATTTGTCCACCCTAAATCGCAACCACTGAACAAACCAAGGCAGGTAGTTGCGGATTTACCAGATGCACAAATGTTAAATTAAAAGCTCTACAGTAGTGGTGGTGGTGGTGGTGCGACTGTGGCCAAACAGAACAGACCGTAGAGTACAACGTGCAACGACGCAACGCCCCGATCCACAAATACGAAGGAGACATCGCAGCGATGCACTCCGCTGCTCTTGACGCGGTTATCTGGGCTTGACAGCCTTGAATGTGAAATTGTGGTCTATTGCTCTGCATCCACGTCAGCAGCCGTGAGACAAGAATAAGCAGTATCAGCAACCACAAGAAAGCCTGACAAGATTTACAATCCACGGGCGGGCATATAGCCACGCTCATTTTGACTGGCCGGGGTTCGAGGTAACCGATTGCAACACTTTCAACACCTTGAGGGCAGCGCTAAGCCCGCGTTACCAGGGCTGCCTGCTCACCACCGTTAACTCCCGACGTAAGGGGGCAAATCCATCTTGCAGACACGCCCGAGAGATGACGGTGGGCCGAGTCAACCTCCAAAGGGCATCGATCTCACGACCGTCCAGTTGCGAGTTGAGCGCTTCGCCGCGGCTCCACTCAAGCATCGTAATCGGCAGGAATCACGAAAGCCACACTCACTCACGGCCCGATGCGTGAACGTGTTTTCAGTCGTTTACACCGTCGCCACCTTACGCGTTCCTCAATCGCGTTTACGCAATCAACAATGCGAGATTGTTACCTCATTAAGCGAGATGTTAACGGCCTCGCCCGGTATACGGGAAGTCGTGGGTTCAATCCCAACCCTGACGCCTGCTGTATATTTGGAGTTTGCGTGTCTCTCTCTCTCCCCGTGGTCGCGTGGAATTTTTTTTCGGGTCCTCCGGTTTTTCCCTCAAACATTCGGAATCGACGTCACGCGTTCAGAGCGTTTGGCTGCTCTACATTTCCACGTGATGACAGGCCACTTCACCGAGCAATCATTTGTGGCCAGGTCACTTCTGAAACAGAGAGATATATAGCTCAGTGGGCGTTACCTGGTAAAATATTAAAAAATATATATTTATGCTGCCCGTGGTGACAGATGACCGCGAAACACACACGGCGGAGGAAACACAATGGTGAAAACGGTCCCGGCGAGATGCGCGCGCTCGAAGTTCCTCGAAGCGAAACTCACGCGTTTCGAGGACGAACACACGAACGCGGCATCACGACAACGGTGCGGTGTTTCCGTCGCACAAACCACGCTCGCCTCGAACCGGACGTCGAACCCACTCGGCGACGGGCGCCGCATTTTGCCTCCAAAAGTTACGGGCCCCCCCGCAGTGGAATAGCAACGGCTCAAAAGATGGTGCGCAATCCCGACGAACGGGGGCCGATGAATGGGGCGCTTTATTCCGGTGCGCACGTGGTGGCAATATGGATTAGATCTGCACGGGGGCTGCGGGCTGTTCGGTTTTAGAGCAATCCCAGCCTTCGCGCCCGGGCAGTGGGGAAAAAAGTGGCAGCTGACAACGATGGGTTTTCAGTTGCGACAGCGCAGACGACAATGACAGCCTTCAGACAAGTCAGGGCCCCGACTGTACCGCGTAAGCTCGGGCCACTTTCACCGTCTGCGCCGAAGGAAGTGCTAATTTAATGCACGAAAATCGAACGCAGCCAGACGGGTCAATGAACGCGCGCTTACAAACGCACCCAAAACGCACGAGGATGCCATTGCACACAGTGGACACTCCTTGCATGAGCTCCGTTGCAGGAAGGTTCGTGCAATCCTTTGGTGAAATGGCATCAACAATAACTAACAAAAAATCCCACAAGCAAAAAAAAACCTGATTCCTCGTTCAATTCATAACGTCCTTTCCCATCCTAAAAGAAGCAAATGCTTCTAAAATGACGTACGCCACCCTCCCCCCCTCTGTCATATATCTTCCGACTAACGTCACCAGACACCGCCCTGAAAACCTACCAAACGCCACTTACAACACTGGAGTGAATTATAAAACACAAAATAAATGCAAGCCCCCCCCCCCCCCTATTATTCACACGGCGCTGTGCATCTTCATGCAGCCCTTACTCCATCAGATGACATCCATGCATCATTGTCCAGGGCCGGCTGTCCATTAGCACCTGTCACCTCGACCACCCGGTCGGCCACCCAACCAGCCAGTCAGCCACACGCCCAGTCAACCCACACTACGCCACATCGCCACCCAGTCAACCAAATCACACAGCCACATAACCACCCATCCAGCTGGAAAGCCAGCCACCTAACCACACAGCCACATAACCACACAGCCACATCACCACACAGCCAACCAAACCACCTAGCCACCTAACCACACAGCCACCTAACCACACAGCCACCTAACCACACAGCCAACCAAACCACCCAGCCACCTAACCACCCATCCAGCCAACCAACTACACACAAAAGCGCACAACCACCCAGCCATCTGACCACCCAACTACCCACCCAGCCACCGAACCATCCAGACAACCAATCACCCACCAATCCACACAGCTACCTAACCACATGGTGACATAACCACCCAACGTACACACCCAGCCACCCACTCACCCAGCCACCCACTCACCCAGCCACCCACTCACCCAGCCACCCACTCAGCCAGCCACCCACTCACCCAGCCACCCACTCACCCAGCCACCCACTCACCCAGCCACCCACTCACCCAGCCACCCACTCACCCAGCCACCCACTCACCCAGCCACCCACTCACCTAACCACCCAACGTCCCCAATCGTTCATCCAACAACCCAACCCGGTGGTCTGACACACACCGCTGGCTGATGATGAGAGCGTTAAGAACATCCAACATGAACCCACCCAGTGTCCAACAGTGCTGAATTGACGACGATGATGGTGAGGATGATAGGTGTCACGATAATGATATCTACATTAAATTGAAGATGTAAAAAAAATCCACCCACTCACCAAACCAGGAGTGTAAGAAACAACACAGGGCTGAATGATGCTGATGATGACGACGACGACTGATGACAATAATGAAACGACGACGACAACGATGATGATGATGATGATATTGATCACGAATATTACAGCTTGACAGTTTTAATGTAAAACTGTCCACCCACACCCATCCACCCCACTCACTGTCACACGGTGCTGCTGAGGCTGCTGCTGCTGCTGCAACGACGCCGCCGTGAACGACCACGCAAACCCAGCACCGCCACACACAGCCGCCTCGCTCACGCACGCTGGCTCTCGGCGAAAGAACCACGGGCGCAAGGAAGGCTCTCTGCTCACTCGCCAATGGCCGTGTCCGTGGCTCTCTCTGCGCCGCTCAGGTAGCGCGCCGCCGCCGCCTCCGCCTCCTCCTCCTCCTCTATTCGCGCGTCCGCTCACGATCTCGCTCAAAAATCGCAGCGCGGATAAGCGCCGGGTTTGTAAAGCGCAGCGCGGATAAGCGCCGGGGTTTGTAAATCGCAGCGCGGATAAGCGCCGGGTTTGTAAATAGCAGCGCGAATAAGGGCATGGTTTATAAATCGCACCGCAGATAAGTGCACGGTTTGTAAATCGCAGCGCAGATACGTACACGGTTTGTAAATCTCAACGCGGATAAGCGCCGGGTTTGCAAATCGCAGCGCGGACAAGGGTATGGTTTGTAAATCGCAGCGCGGATAAGTGCACGGTTTGTAAATCTCAGCGCGGATAAGCACCGGGTTTGTAAATCGCAGCGCGGTTAAGGGTATGGTTTGTAAATCGCAGCGCGGATAAGCGTTGGGCTTGTAAATCGCAGCGCGGATAAGCTCCAGGTTTATAAATCGCAGCGCGGATAAGCGTCGGGTTTGTAAATCGTAGAGCGGATAAGCGCCGGGTTTGTAAATTGCAGCGCGGATAAGCGCCTGGTTTTGTTGATCACCGAACGGATAAGCCGCCGGGTTTGCAAATCCCAGGGCGGATAAACGTGGTGTTTGTAAATCACAGCGCGAATAAGTGTTGGCTTTGTAAGTCCCGGCGCGGGTAAGCGGGGATTATTTATAAACCATAGCTTATATAAGAATGACTAAATCACGTCACGAATAAGTATTTGTAAATCCCATTGCGGATAGGCGCGGGGTTTGTTATTCATAACGCGGATAAGATGGGTGTTTGTAAATCCCAACATTTATGAGCTCTTCGTGGATCATCGAGGGCTTTGTGAATCGTAGCGCGGATAAGCAGGAGCGCGGCCCTGATTGGGCGTAGCTGCGCGCGGGGACCAGCCAATGGCGTCGAACGCTGCACGATCATTATAATTTATGTAAATCGAATGCAAATATATGGCACGGTTAAATTCGATTCAAATTTTTCACTGCAGCGATATCCATTGTTGTACAGCACTTACGACACGTCTATGTTCCCTACCTCGTTCCCGCCCCCTGTGAAAACAGACGCTGAAACATCATCGCCTCTTCCTCCCTATCATCTCTCCTGACCTCTGTGCTCCAATTTCTACAGTCCGTGTCCATCCTGATTATCTTTGTTTATCGATCTGTCTCTTTATATCTTCCCTTTCCTGGTCCTTTTATTTTTCCATTTGTTGCGCCCTTGTACGTTGAACTTCTTTCGCGCCGTACGTAGCCAACCGCACTAACCGCGGGGGAAGGACAGCAAACTAGACACGAAAAGCAATTCTAAAGAAATTACTTTTCAGTATAGATTATTTAAAAGTGCACAACTCCAGTGGCTTACTAATCGGAAGAGCATTCCACATGGCCGCAGAAGCGCATTTGAAAGCACGCGACGCAGTGACCATCTTTGTTCGGTGGCGAGCCAAAAGCTGCTGCTAAAGAAATGAGTTTTCCATTTAGATCCAATCTAAATCCTTTTCAATTTATATTCTAGACCATTGACCCTTCACCCCTTCCTTTGGTGCGCCACGGGTCCCACAGTTGCTAGTTAACTGAATTGATCAAACATCCCATTGCAGGACCTCCACCTGAAAAAGGCCCAGTAAGGATTTCCTGGTTGCATATAGAGCCTTATTATTCCCACTGATAAGTAATAGTAACGGTAATTCACAAGCCTTTGTCCGTCCACTGTCGGATGAAAGCCTGCCCATGTCTCCGTCGTGGGGGGGGGGGAAGGGGGTGGTGGTTGTTTGACCATACTTCACCACGCCGGTCAGGGCGCGTCGGCGAGGGTGAAAGAGTGGTCCAGGACCGGTCCGTAAATCATTCGCCGCTAACGTTAGCCGTGGTCAGGAATCAAACTCGGATCGCCGCGATTGACTTCCACACACAGCCGTGAGAACCCCTACTACTCCAACCCCTCGTTCTCATATTACGCTAATTCCGCTCATGGGCATTCACCGTGCATTAAGGTCACGGCCACATATTTCATCTTGGGAAGGGCACTGCTCAGGGGGTATGAGAACGCATAGTTGGTTCGGTGTGATAGCCGCTCCGTGCAGCGCTGGCGTTATCCATATGTGAGATGATTGGAGGGTTTAGTAGGTCAGGGCGATGTATCATCCAGTACCTAAGTGCCGTCTTCATGGAATGGTCCCAGCAGCAGCAACGACAACAACAACAAAAAACACAAACAGGCAGAGTTTTTATATCACGTTTCTGACACATTCACTGACATCACTGGCGATCACAACACGGTTTCTCAGATCTGTTTTAATACTGCTTGCCTTGGGTGTTTGTTCTTGTGCACCACTGGCAATGTGTGGTACGATGACCGAATAATTTGCCTCTATGTTTTGCCTTCTGGTTACAATTCATCATCATCAGCAGCAGCAACAACGAAAGCCGTCGCCATTCCTCACGATGTCGCGAGATACAACAGCCCACTCAATTTGGGACATTTTATTGGCATCGCGTTTGGAGAGAGTTCTCAAGGAGGGCGTGTGACCCGGGAAGGCAGTTTATTAGATCGTAGCGAAGCCCAAATATCGCGGAGAGTGAAGTCGCTTCCTCGTTAAGGTCACGGACACTAGCCGATGAGTCGAGCGACAAAGAGTAATTTTCTCCAGAGACAAAAATCAATTTTTTTTCCACACGGTGGGTGTGCGTCACGGTGGTTCGCAGTTTGCCTGATTCAACAAATGCTGCTGGAAAAAAAAAAACATTGGCCAACAATGACCGCAGGCGGATGGACCTAATTGGGATTTTTTTTAATTGTTTAAACTTATCTATTAAATATATTATTCAAAATAGATGGCGCACACACAAATGCACAATTTATTTGATAACGCTCCGATTATTTTTTTTACCGGGTTGCACCATGATGTCCAACGTTTGTTACCTCAGGAACTGCGGTGACGAGATGTTAACTACGTCGCCTGGTATACAGGAGGTCGTGTTTGCTTGTCTCTCTCCCCGTGGTGGTCACGTAGATTTTTCTCCGGGTCCACCAGATTTTTCCTTCCACATTTAGAATCAACACGCGTTTAGAGTATGTGGCTGGCTATAAATGTCCACATGATAGGCCACTTCGTCAAGCTATCATTTGTGGCCAACTCGCTTCTGAAAAAGAGCTATACAGCTCAGTGGGCCCTTACCTGGTAAAAAAAACGAATCGTTTTAGTTTAAACGCTGCACTTGCCAATGCTTTTTCCCATGTGGGACGTGCCGAACAACGCACGGTACGAGCCCAAAAACACCACGGGGGAGCTGTGCAGCGCGGCTGTCTCAATGTTGAAACTTTTTCCGCGTGTGTGCGTTTCGGAGGCGTTTGTATTCAGCTGGAAAAGGCTCAAGTTGTGTGGCAAGCCATGCTGACTGTAAACCTGTGAAGATGCATTTGAATTCGTTAAGCTGTTTTGCATTCAGTGTATCGCCCATAATCCACATGGAACTGTCGGCGCTGGATTTCAGTTGAATAAATCCACAATCTAATCCTGACAATAACAACAATGGTTGCACATAATAATAACAGTGAAACGAAATATTATTTTCACGTAGGCTCTCGCGACCAATATTATTCACAATAAAGGTTTTGTTTTGGGTTAGATTGAATACTGAATGTTATCAGTTTGACAAGTAAGCTGACTTAAGAGAATTTAAAATAATCGATTATTCCGTAGCAGACGCTCACGCGTGGCATGTACAAAGTGAAGTCCCCAGCGTGTGTCGAAGGGAGGCCAAATTGAGTTGAATTCGTAAGCACTGCGTCTGTCGGACATGGAAAGCGTCGGAGCCAAATCAGCCGCACACACAGCACAGAGGGCAGGGGCGCAACGACCTTTAAGTCTACAAAGGGGCCCCAAGTGGGGGCTAGGGGTGGCCACGTGGTTAGAATCCAGATCCTTCCCGAGGATTCTGGAAGGTGGTCGTGGCCAAGGGCGGAGCCAGCCACGCCACAGAGAATATCAGCCGGGTCCTGAGAGGGACCGGCGTTGTTGTTCATCCTGGAAGAAACCTTCGTCTACGTCCTAGGTTCTACCGAGTCTCCAACACGTGGACCCGGACCCGAGCTGTTGGTCCCGGTCCGTAGTAGCTAGTTACGTTGTAACTAGTGTAGTGAGCCTGGTGGTCATCACCATAAGTTGTTATTCTGTTAAGGGGCAGTTACCCCGTGTATTGATGTTAAATAAATGTGTTGCCTCCAAGTTTATGTCTGCGACTCAGTGGGGGGGGGGGATATGCAAGTTATGACTGTGCCCCCCCCCCTAAACTCGTTTCTCCCGACTCGCCACAGTGGCTAGGAGATGTTGACTACCTCGCCTGTAATGCAAGGAGGTCGTGGGTTCGATCCCAACGCTGACGCTTGCTGTATATTTGGAGTCTGCGTGTCTCTTTCTCTCTCTCACCGTGGTCGTGTGGATTTTTCTCCGGGTCTTCCGTTTTTTTTCCCTCCACATTATGGAACACACGCGTTTCGAGTATTTGGCTGCTGTACATGTTCACATCATAAACCACTATCTTGAGCTATCATTTGTGGCCAGGTCGCTTCTGAAAAATAGCTATATGGCTCAGTGGGCCTTACCTAGTAAAAATGTTTTTTTTAAATAGGACTAAAATAGCTGTGGATCTTTTTAAGCCACATAAAATAATATGTAGGCTATAACTATGTATTATTTTAGTTGCACCCGTGCATTGAGTTTGGAGGAAGACAGTCTCGCAGTGACAGTGTTAATAAAAAAATAAATTTAAAGACACAATACGGTACGAACAATGCAGTTATCGTTTGTATCGCTCTACATGCGCATGTCAGTGGAAAAAAAACAGCCTGGCGTGCAGCAACAAACAACAGCACCAGCGCTACCATATTTTACGCCGTGTGTATTTTTTAAGGAAATGTTACTTTTGTCATTTGTAATAATGTTTTTTTTTCCGGCATTTATGGTTAATTGTTGGGATTTTCGCTATTGTTTCATATTTTTTCTTTAAATGTTTTTGTTAATTTTGTGTGCATTTGATTTTCCTCTGTAGCCAGCAGC